TTACACAAATTCTTAGAGCTTGTGACTTGTGATTACCGGGTTTTGAGAATATTATTATACTCGAGTTGTTGGTTACTTGTACATGTCGAGCGATATTTTTCCGTTATATAGTTATCTGATTTAAATTAGTTGTTGATTATGTCTTTATTTTTGATTTTTCCGCAATTGTTAGGCTTACCTAGTCGTAGAGACTAGGTGCCATCACGACGTCTTACGGAGGGAGAAGTGGGTCATGACAGGGTTCTTCAAGAAAGAGTTCAAGAGGAAAAGGGTTGGTCCAATCATTTATTTGATCTTATTAGTTGTAAATATTATCCAAAAATATGGTTTGGCATGTGAGAAAATAATTTTTCATCCAAGAGGAAGTGACACTGTGGGAAATTTGTTAACCACTTTACTTCGACTACTCTTTTTAACCCTGGACGGAGATTCTACAAATATCCAAAATCATAAGTAAGTGATTATTATTATTAAATTTTGTCGTATTTGAATTTTTTTATAATTTAATGAATTATTTCCCTTTGATTTGTTTGAATTGTATTTTGGTTTTGCAGGATGCTTCATGTGGTTATTGGGAATGGTCAGATGATCCTATTCCCGATAGAGCGCTCATTGTAATCAACAATTTAAGGTCTCAGTTGAATGCGACAAATGTTAAAATCAGTACTTTGAAGTCGTCGTTGGACAATGTTAAAATTAAAAGGGATAAATTGAAGGAGAAAAAGACCATCGTAAAGGCAAGAAACCATGTTCAAGTAACTAAATTAGAAGAGTAAATTCTCAAGATGAAGATTTTCATTATCATTTTATGTACCCTTTTTTGTTGGAATTTTAGTTGCAAGGGTAATGAATTGAACGTGAATAACAAAGGGGCAATCACATACACATCCATATCTTTGCAGTCATATTTCTAGCTTCAGGTATATCCTTGAAGCTCATACCCTTATCCAGTTCCTTATAATTATCCAAACCTTGCATAATCTCTCTTTTCTTTTGACTAGCAAATATTTGTAATTCATCACTATTATACTCTACCTTTCTAGAATTAGAATCAGATTCATAATCACTACAATCAGTACCAACTTCATTTGATATTGGATAAGACTCAAAATTATGGACTATGTTAGTCACATTAATTAATAGATTGCTCACACTCATCTACAATATAGAAATGAAGAGTCTTAAATTCATCAGAGATTAGACACAACATATGTCTTATACCAGCTCATTCTCAATTTTATAATAATTACCAGATGGACCGTTCACAATTAGTTGTTGAACACCTACATTTCCTAAGTCATTCATTTTTAAATCCACTAGATATTTGTACGATAGAAGTTCAGAATCATAACCTCTCTTGATATGGGACAACTTCTTTGAATACAAGACATGTGAGCTTGTGATCTAGTCCCCACCATAATTCAAGATTAGGTCCCCTAATGACATCCTTAATATTCTGTAAAAGTTAATAAAATAATAAAAAATCATAAATGAGGACAACAAAAATTTAAATAACATAAACAATACTCATAAAAAATAATAACTAAGCAATTAAAAAATCAAAATTATAAAACATGTATGGATTTAAGGGAACACATACATATGTAACAACCAGGGGACCACAAATAATTCAAATAGTAAAGGTCCACTAACACTAAAATATTTGCGGATTTTAGTTATGAGGGAACAACATTTAACACACCCAACACAACATGTGCCAGACAAGAAACGACTAAAAAAATAAATGAAACCCCACATTCTCATACCTCACCAACTTTAATGCTTAAAAAAATTCAAAGACATATGCCAGCACGGACAAAAACCACATAAATCCAGCACAAACAAAATCAAAACAAGACATATCACAAAAGTTTATACGAGATAAAAAAAATAAAAAATAATCCATACTATATTGCTGATCATCGATAATCCTAACAGAAAAAAAAGACTAAAACAACACATGCAAAGACATTCCACACAAGAAAATAAGACAAAAAAGTCATAAAATAACATCTTAAACTAAGACATAAGAATATAAAATATATTAAAGCCCCAAAACGATTGAACATAAAACCCTAATAATAAACTAAGACAGATACACATAGAAGGAGATAAGCAAGCGAAATTACGCGGATTAAACATATCTTTTAAGAAAAATGATTCTTGAATTGGCAACATCGACTAATAGTAAGTACTGTGTCTTAAGAACCCTAATTTGGTCTCGTTGGTCGAAGGAAGGGAATGAGAGAACCAATGTGTTCGGGCACTTTTTTAATTAAAATTTCGGGTGGGTTGGATAAAATTAGTCGGTGGGTGGGTCAATTTAAAAATAAGGGGTGGGTTTAGTTCATCCAGTAAAAGGCCGACACATGAATATTTTATTTTAGAATTAGGAGTAGACGACAGAGTGACATTTTAATCTCGGCACAAACGATAAGGACTCTTTTAATTAAACAGTAAAACGGGGCACACATATGACTTAATTTAGCTAGTAGAGAGACACTTATGAACCTTTTCCGTATATTTTAACTATAGTTAAGTGACAAAAATATATGAGCAAAAATATTATTATGCATAACAATTAATTTGATATAAATATTGAATGTGAATAACTCTACTATCGAAAAATTACCAGTTATGTCTCCCGTAAGCAAATTAGTATAAAAATTGGTTGATTCGTAAAATATTATTAATATTAGACAAATACTAACAATATTAGCCAATTAGCTATTTGTAGCTAAAAATGTCAATTTTTTGCTTTCTTTTGAGTGGGTGCTGTTGGAATAGATTGCGTACATCTTACGGAGTTCAATCTCAGTTTTAGAATGATTTGATAGAGTTTTGAATTGTTTTGAATTGAAAATTCAAAGTAGAAAACGAAGACGAAAAAAGATGATATGTGTGACACACTATATATCATTTGTGCATCACATATGTATCAAATGTATATCATATGTATATCCATATATACATGTGTGTGAGATACATGCGTGATACATGTGTCGGAGAAAACAAATTCAAACTCAATTTTAACTACGAATTATGTTATCAAATCGGTCCAAATCCCCCTCAATCTTGCTCAAATCTTGTATATTGCCTCAATATATATGTTTTCAACGAACTCCAACCATACCCATTGAAAAAAATATTTTTTGCCTATTTTTTAAATATTTTATATCATTGGTAATGAAGTTTGACTCCAAACTAGTCTAACCCGTCTTCAAACTTCGCCAAATTTTATAGGCAAGATACATAAAAATTGCATTAAACTTGTCGAGAAAACAAGTTTGAACACTTAAACTAAACGGGTGACTTTTTACCTCCCTAAACACATTGCGAGTAAATTTTGTTCCACCTTCCATAACATCAGACCAGTTAAAGAGCAATGAGTATGAGGCACGCTCTTTCTGGTGATGCCACGTCATCAATGAAGTTTGCCATTTTAATGACCCGGTCCATCACTACTAAACCCACCCGATTAAAATACCCGACCCACTTTATTTAATTTTTACCCTAGTTTTCTAACCCCGATCTCATTTCTTTCTAAACACAACGAGAAATTGTGTGATGAACTCAAACCCTAGTGTAGATTTTCCCCCAAATCTCGTCGATTAGAGCGTAGATACTGCAGATTGGTGGCTTCTCTTGTAGGATCATCATCTTCCATGCAAAGCCCAACCAAATTAGTTGACCGCATTATGTACAAAGCAATAAATCAAAGAAACCCCCTCAAATAAAAAGAAATTCGAACCACTCAAAATAAAGCCCTAAAATCAGATGAACCAAAAGATTATAGAGAAAAATAAGGCTTTAATTCACATAAAAGGATTTAGGCTTTGATTCCCATAAGGCTTTGATTTTGTCCGAAATTTCATATCTTGGCCAGAAATTATAACTAATTGAAGGAGAGGGGGATTTAGGATTCTTGAAAAAGAGAAGAAGAATTGGATCGGGTAATTTTACTGTTGGGGTCTCTTTATAAAATAAATGTAATTTTAAAATAGTTTCCCTTTTTAAAAAAAATAATTTTATCCATTAATTTAGTGTAAAACACGCTCATAAATGATATGATGCCACGCGCTGGGTCTGGTGTTATGAAAAATAAAATAAAATTCACTCACAATGTGTTTAGGGGGTGAAAAGTCACCCGTTTAGTTTAAGTGTTCAAACCTATTTTCTGGACAAGTTTAATGGGGTCTTTATGCATTTTGCCAATTTTATATATTGCCTCATATGTATGTTTTCAATGAATCATAATAATACCCATTGGAAAAAAAATATTTTTTTGCCTATATTTTTTGAATGTTGAATATCATTGGTAATTTTTGTTGGCTATTTTTCACAGCATAACTAAAATTGCTAGTTGTTGGTAAATAGCACTATTTTTTTTTTGATACATTACTGTAATATTTCCTAATTTTTTTGCGTTCTATTTCATATAAATAAATATATAAATTCTTGTATAATTTGTACAATTTACGACGAGCAAGAAAAAAGACAACCAACTATCTATTTGGAGTATTAATACTGAACTTTAGCCACGTGTTATAATACCCTTGCATCAAACCGAAAGTGAACAGATTGCTTGTTTTTTCAAAGAAAAAAAAAAGAAAAAAAAAAGAAACCCAAAAAAGAACGGAAAAGGTCCAATAATATCCCTAAACTATAGTATATAGCTCATTTTTGGGCCAGAAATATCCTCCCCATTAGTAAAATGGGCCACTAATGCCTTCAACCTAACGGCCCTCCACACAAGCCTTTATATCAGCATTTTATAGCTTATATGGCATCCACATAACATCCACATAAGCGGAGCCACATAAACCCGCTCCGATAACCAAATAAGCAGACCTAACAAACCCCATTTCCAAACAAAAATCACTGGTTCTTCCATGTCCGTTCTTCCATGGCGATTTGAGAGTTGAGGAGATGATACGATCAAGCAAGGTTTAACAACACAAACTGAAGATCATCTGAAGATATTCAGGTAATTTTTCCTTCTATTTATTGGGTCTATGTCTCGAATAAAGGGATTATTCAATTTTTTGTTGTAATTTTCTAGGGTTTTGTCATGTTCTAGTATTTCTGGTCATGTCTTCTAGTGTATAGTGTTTGTATGTGGGTCTGGTACTCTAGCAGCAGTATACATGTTTAGACATCAGTGGTGTTTGGTGATATTTTGCACAGCAGATTGTGAATACTCTCTATTTTAGTATGTGAAAATATATTGTGAATGCTTTGAACTACTTAATTAAACATAAACTAATCGGATAAAACATATATTATACAAGTTTTTGCTGGACAAGTTAATCAATCAAGTTCACTTTATTGAGATATTTATGTATTTATAATGAGACAAAATAGATATCCACTGGAATCGATTCCCATATTTAAGTATACTCATAAAATATAATACTGCACATGCATTTGCTGGGATTTAATGCAACACACACCTTGTGCCTTTCTAAATGGACAGCCTGCAGGTAAATAAATCGACTAATGACTAACAGAAAAGAACTTAGTTTGCACAGCAGTGGTCGTTGCACAACAGTGCTGTTGTTTTAAAATAGCATAATCTTCATTATGAAACACGAGGAATGATTTAACCAAAATACTACAACATACTAAACAAACATACTAAACCAATATACTACAACATACTAAATCAACATACATTAACTTCATCATCCCTATAACTAAACCAAAATACTACACCAACATATTTAAACAACATACATTCACTTCATCATCCCTACGACAACCAAAGCAAATAATAAAGCCCATGAAACCAAAATGATATTTCTCATCTTCTTCAATTTGACCTCTAAATTACTAGCTTTTTCAGCTTCCACAACTTGAAATTGCTCAATTTCGTCAAGTTTCATCTTCAAAGTATGCCTTTCAACCGTCATAACATCTTCCATTTCATCAAACAAGTTCTTAGAGCCCCTTTGAACCGTCGTAGCTTGTTCCATGAGGTAAACTTTATTCCTCAAATTGTTCCTCTCAAGCTTAGCAGCATCAAGTTTAGTTTTTAAATCTTTGATCACCATCACAGCTTGACGAAGGAGCTCTTCGTCAATCCATTCAAAATACCAGTAAGAACTAACCTACACCATATCAGAATTTACAGCAGTTTTGGAAACAATTTTTGTACATAAACAATAAAAATCAAGAACGACCTAACTCGACAAAAGAAGATGAATCACATAAATCGACCAAAATAAAAAAAAATTCAAAACTAACCTTGGATCTTGGACATTTGTAGAACCTTCTCCCAGCATTGGCGTCTGACCAAGTTGTCAAATATAGCGCAATCAATCCGCAATGACATCTTCTTGCATATTGAATTTCATGCGCATTCACAGATAAATCAGACATTGAGCAGAAATTTGAGCAAAAATTTGGAGATTTGAGCAGAAATTTTGAAGGAAAAATGGAGATTTTTAAAATTTGGGAATAATGACAATAAGGGTTTTGGGAATGGGTGAATATCGGTATAAGAAGAGGGAAAATAAGATGAGAGAATAACTTATGTGGATGCCATATAAGCTATAAAATGCTGATATGAAGGCTTGTGTGGAGTGCCGTTAGGTTGAAGGCATTAGTGGCCCATTTTACTAACGGGAGGATATTTTTGGCCCACTTTACTAACGGAGGACAAAAGTGAGCTATATACCATAGTTTAGGGATATTATTGGACCTTTTCCGGAACAAGAAAGAGAAAAAGAATAGATTTCTTGTTTTGTTCTATTTTTATTTTTGTTTTCCTTTTAATTTATATTTATATCTTAAGGCGGCAAGGTAAGAGGGGTAGGTGGGGGCATCTATAATAAGATTCTTGTACGTATTCCGCATCGGCTTCGTTCCCCGGTTCGTTCGAGGCCGCTCGCTGGAATCAGCATAATTCTCCAGAATATATTTACAGTAAAGTTTATTAGTTGAAACTAGCTAGTAGAGTACGTATATTTCTCCTTTTTCTTTTCTTCTTTTATTGCTATCTTTATTAGGCGATGGCTGCAGTTGTGGAGTTTGAGGGTCAGCAACTCGTGAATGACATCTTAGATCTATCCATTCAAGACCAGGTAATAATGGGGTTTTTTTACTATGTTCTTTTTTACATTTTCGTTTACATTTTGTCTTATTTGATTAGTATAATGATCGCAAATGCATTTCAATTGAAAATATTATGTGGATACAATGATTTTGAAGCAATAGCGTCCTAAAGTGTGTTTTCTTATGGTATATTGTTGTTGAATGAACTTTATGGTTTCGAGTTTGAAATTCTACCAATTTAGTGGGTTCGAGTTTGAAATTCTACCACAGCTCATTTGATTTACTGTGTTTGAGATTCAAAATTTTGTAATTGTTTATTAGAATTTTGAACACATACAAGGTTTGAGCCAACAGACGCAGATCCAGAATTCAAACTCCACGTTCAATATTTAATGTTCTTAGCATTGAACCACTTATATTTTAAGTTATAAGTTTATAGCTATTATTTGTTGTAGTTTTAGTGGAATTTTACACATAAATTTATGCTCTGCGTGAAAAGTACTAGGTTTAGTTGAACTCGGTAACATAACATTGGATGCACCCCTGTGAGTCAAAAGTTACTGGATGAACCCATAACATGTATGCTAGGTCCCACCCCTGTTGAATAAGCTGGATATTTGATTAATAGAATTTTGCCATTATCTGTTGATACTTGATAGGTAGTGTTACTCACGGCAATATGGTCCTTCTCCAAATCATTGTTGAGGAGTTTTGCTAAATTTTGAAAATAGTTCATGCTTTATCTTTTGAAAATAGTTCATTAGCAATATGGTATCTTCCTTGTTCTTAGATTGCTGTTACCACCTGCTGCTTGATTGCTATTTTTCGCTTCACTTTTCTTAATATCTTGATGTTGTTACTGCTTATTGCCACTGCTTCTTTTTTATCTTTTCTTGAGCCTAGGTTAAGGGTGAGGTCTGCGTATACATCACTTGTGGGAATTCACTAGGTTTATTGTTGTTGTCGGAACTACTTGTGTATAGGGGTAAATAGAGATTCTTGGTGTAACTTTCTTTTGGCACCCATAAAATAGATTTATTGGTTGCACCCAAGGGCGTGACTTAGTGGTCAATGAAGTGAGTTGAGAATCATGAGTTCTCAGGATCAGATCCCATCAGAGACAAAAACATTAGGTGATTTCTTTCCATGTGTCCAAGCCTTGGTGAACAGAGTTACCTAGTACATGTTGATGGCGGGAGGTAGCAGGTACATGTTGTTGATGGGAGGTAGATGGTGAGAGGCACCTGATACTTGTTGCTGGTGGGAGGTGTGCATAAGCTGGCCCTGAAATCACGGTTATAAAAGAAACATATTTATTGGTTAGTCCTAGTATTGAGAGCTAAGGATTTGGTGGAAACAATTGATTGAAGTCTGTTAATGTGATTAAATGTTTCTACATGTTTCTACATATAGAATAAATTCTATGAATTCTGGTTTAGTTTTATGTAACGAGGGGGCTACAAAGGAAGATTTAGAAATGTCAGGAAGATAACCAAATGATGAAGAACCAAAAGAAGATTTGAAATTCAAAACTAATATTGAGAAAAGATTGTTTGAGACGAGGCTTATTTATTCCAGTCACTACTTCGAAATAATACAAGTGGATTTATTTATGAAAGCGGGATGCTTAGGAGCGTGCTATTCTGAAGCAGGAAAGAAACCCCATTTGGAAAATGAGAACCTATCTGAAAAGGAAAAAGCAGACAAAAATGTCAAATTGAAAACTCATTAGTAAAAGTTGAATCGACCTAAAAGGCTTGGCTCCTACAATGGTTACAAGCATAGCTTGAACCTCATGGTACCACATTATATCATTTTGTGTTAGTTTCTGCATCGTGGAGTTGCAGTGGCTTGGATTTATTTAATCCGTTCTGTTTATCATATGGCTGGATTTTTAGGCTTACAGCTGTGTTGTTTGAATACACGATACATTTAATCTGATTGATATGGATTTTGATTTTCAGACTAACATGAAGAGCATATCTGAGGAAAATCACGAAGTTGGGTGCGAGAGTAATCATCATGGTTTGTGTGCTATCTGTTTGAATAAGATATTGCTTCAAGAAACTGCTCTTGTTAAAGGTTGCGAGCATGCTTACTGGTTTGTATATACAACCAATCTCTTCCATCTATTTACTGCCATTTTGATCACCAGATGCTCCTGATAGGATCCTATTCAATTTACTGTTTTTAATAAATTGGTCATATAAAGTTTGTCCACAGCTAATTGTTCTACACTTTTTTGTTAAATCTACTGCAGTTTGATCTGCTTGCCTTTGATAGGATCCTAATTCAATTTACTCATACATATATACATTTCACCTAACTATATATCTAGAAAGATAAAATTGCTGTTTTCTGTTATTTATGGCTATCAAATTGGCAGTTAATGGATGGTAAATGAACCGCGAAAGAAAGAAAGTTACGTGCAAGGGATAGTTACTTGAAGAAATTTGTTTGCATTTTTGGTCAGTTTATGCTATGAAACCTTTTGCTTTTTTATATTGGTGAGCAAAGGAAGGAAAATGAGGATATATTTTCATTCCCATTCGTCCAAAATTTTATTTTTCTTGTGGGTGGGTGGTGGGGTGGGTGGGTTGCAGGACTAATGATTTTCTGGCGCTTTTCTCTTACTCCTTGGTAGTCAGCAGAAAGCTCTCTTACTCTGAACCACAGTATATTCTGTTTCACTGGTTCGTATTAACAATCCTTTTGTCGATGTTGGAAGATTTGGTTTAACTTATGATTGATTTTTGTACATCAAATTGGACGGTTCTCTATTTTAGTCTGTGTTAGGTTCTACAAGCTTACTTGTTAAAAGAACAAAGGATTAAATCAGTTGGGTTTTAGTGTGAATGTGACAAACTTCATTAGTGTCTCCTTATCTTGTTATGACCTGATCTGTGTTTTTATGACATAATAATGATCTTATAGGGTTTGAATTAGTCTCTAAGCTTTGGGTCTTTTGCAAGTCTTTTCTTTTTTCAGAGCAAGTCCATTCTTGTAATAGTGGAAATGTCTCAACACTAATATGTACTATCTCCTTACGTGGTGTTCAGTGTGACATGCATCCTTCGGTGGGCAACCTACAAAAAGGAACCAGCATGCCCTCAGTGTAAACATCCATTTGAGTTTCTCCACGTTCATCGCTCACTAGATGGAAGGTAATTGATTAGTTTTGGCTAAAGTCCTTATCTAAATATTTGTTATACATGATAATGCAAATAATATGCCAATGTGGTAGTCTATGTTGCTTGGACTCTCCGAAAATGTTACCGGTTGCGTGTCGGATCTTCTAAAAATAGTATATTTTTGGAGGATCCGACACGGGTGCGGCATCATTTTGGAGATTCCGTGCAACATAGGTGGTAGTTGATATACATTCTTTTTCGAGTGTTTGAACGAGTATAAAACCATGTGCACAATTCTTTTATTTTCTTGAACTTGATTGTTTATCTCTGAGATGGTTTAATCGTTGTCATGTTCGCAGGATTTTTTTTATTTCTAATTTTGTTTTGGACGTCCCGTAGTTGTGGTTGGTGATTTTTAACCTAAGAAATGAAACTTTTTTTCCGACAGCATTCAGGATTACATGTTTGAGGAGAGTGTCTGCCTTCTCCTCAGAGCATCATGGTTCAATCCCTTGATTGTGGAGGAAAAACAAGAAGTCGATGATAACATGGATTATCTTTATGCATATGAGGATGAAGATGAAGAGCTAGAACACTTCTATTTTACTAGTTCATCCCATCTCCGAATAGGCAACCGGAGATGGGGAGACAATGGATATGTCAGGGCAGGAAGGCAAGAAGCAACGCCTGTTCCTCGACCAAATTCCCAGGACTTTGGCGCTGGCTCGTCACGCCAGACTAAGAAGAAAGAGGCTGCTGCTGTTGCTCCTAAAGAAGCTGTAGGCCGGCGTGCAAAGAGGGCACTCAAGCGCGAAGCTGCTGATAAGGCGGCTGCTGAAAAGCACCAGCAGCATTTGGTGAGGTTGGGTCGGGCGTGAGTTCTGCTACAACTCTTAACTCAAAGATCATGTCTTAATTAGTCACTGCTGCACAGCCATCTCGTTTCTCTATATTGTAAGATAATGACACAGTTTAGATGCTGCATTGACTAAATGGGATGAACCATGTTCATACCCTGTTATATCCTTCGCAGAGATGTAAATTTATGACAATGGAAAAGCAAGCTTCTTACTTCCACCATTAATGTACATTGTTTTTTTGTTTAATGTTTTAGCTCGCAAAGTGATTGTTTTCAATCCAGTTATTCTCGCAACTCAGCTTGTTCTTGAGTTTTGGGGGTGTTGTTGTTTTGGTTATAAGGCTTTGCTTCTTATTCCAATTCGATGTTTATTTTGCTTTATTTTCAATCATTTGGTCTTTTATATATTTGCTTTTCTAAAGAAAATTTATTGGATTTAAAAATAAATAAATTAAAAATGGTGTTAGATGACCCTTCCGGTAGAAGGGTGTCTCCGCCACCGAATTTTCCATCTAATTTATTTTTACATTTTTGTTTTTTTAAAGGAGCCTTAGAGCAACGCTAAAGTTATCACCGTATGATCAATAGGTCACAAGTTCGAGTTGTGGGATCAACCATTGATGCTTGTATCAGGGTAGACTGCCTACATCACACCTTTTAGGCTATTGCCCTTCCCGAATCTTGCGTAGAC